CAGGTCCGGCAGGCCCTGGCTCGGCCTCGCGCGGCCCACGCCCTGCGCCCCTCCGCGGCCAGCTCTCAGCGGATCGTCGGGGACCTGCGGAGCTCCAAGTGGAGCACCCGGAGGGAGGAGCGCTACAGGATACTGTCCAGCCACCGGGCAGGGCTGCCCAGGCCGGCCGAGCCTCAGCCAGCCCGGCCCCAGGCGTCGGACGCCGCGGAGGAGACCGGAAAGGAGTCTGAGAAGTGGAGCCTCGGGGAGATCCAAGTGGTGGACCTGGTCCACGAAGATGCCGGAGACCAGGACAAGCCTCTTAGCAAGGTGGGTTCGCTAAGATTCAGCCTCAGCTAACTTCTGGGCTGTTTTACTCAACTCAACTTTATTTATAAAGCGCTTTCAGTCAGCCAAAGCTAAAATCAAAGCGCTGCACAGGCCATTTGAGCAAATCATAAAACACAATTGTCACCTCCACACAAGACAAACTCAAAGATTAAAAATAAATAGGAGAGGGAATAAAGTTAGAGTAAGAGAGGGAAATTAAGACAACTAAAATAAAGTCGAAGTCTCACTCAAAGGCCTGAGAGTAAAAGTGGGTCTTTAAAAGGGTTTTAAAAGAGCTGAGTGCAGGGGCCTGTCTGATAAAAAGGGGGAGGGCATTCCACAGTTTCGGAGCTGCCGCAGAGAATGCTCGGTTTACATCAGTAGGAATTTCACAGATTTCGACTTGGCATCCATGGACTTCTATTTTCTTTTTTTTTTGCTAGCTTCTCATTGGCCAGAGAGTCATTAAAGCAAGTCCTAAATCAGAACCCCATCTATTTTGAGACAAACAAGACAGCAAAGATAAACGTCATTGAATTATTTCTGCGATTGTCTTGTAAATGCATAAATGTAAATGCTGGCTCCCCAAACCAAGATCTAATATTTCGTCTGTCAACGTTGTCGTGAGCGCTGCATACAAAGTCTTTTGTGTGCCCCCTTTGATGTTATGAACTGTTCCTAGAGGAAGCCTGAGTCGAGTTAAGACAAGTAGAGCTGACAGACTCTTGTTTTGGGGGGAAACGGAGCCTCGCTTTTCGGAGCTCGGGACAAACAGCAACGGCTGCATTCTTGCTGGTGGTCAGATTCGCTGAAGCCGGCTGCCCGTGGCCCCTCGGGTACATTGCCGTGGAGGGGATCCTGCAGATGACGGTGGTCTTCGCTTACAGATGCAGGGAGTTTGTGTTCGGGTTGAGCAAAAGTAAAAATCGCTATGTGAAGTGCAAAGAACACTCTTTAAATCTTCATGGTATAAACTCTTAATCATCTTTTCTCCTTTGCCTCATACGTACCACACTCATTTCCTGATTTGAAATTGGGCTATGTGGTGTCGCTGGTTGGTCTGTTATTCAAACACCAACATGCCAGCTCCATTTAGCTAATGAGTGGTGTTTAAATATATTTTTTTGCCATCGTATTTCCATTAAATTTGGAAATATTTTCGTAAATCCTTGGGGAGAAAAGTTTTCCTGGACCTGCTGTGCCAAGCAGTTACGATACTGCTGTATTGTACTAATGTTTAAAAATAATAATGTGTTTAATATGACTGAATAACCCACAGACAACTGTGGGTTGTCAGTAGACAGAGATGGATGTCTGTTTTGCATCGATGCTGTATAATCTGTTAGTGCTGACAGTTTGTCCTTAGTCTGTTAACAGGAGCCTAAGAGTTGGGTTCATTTTCTTTTTTTGATATGTCCCTCATCCTTTCGATGCAGTCGTCCGACCCAGAGGTGATTCTGTGCAACAACACCAAGATGCTGCGTGAGCGCCTGAGCATCTCCGGGGAGCGGCTGGGGCCGGAGCGCCCGGACCCGAGCGACGACTACGTCTACGACCTGTACTATCAGGAAATGGCGGCACCGGGCTGGATCCAGGACATCCTGTCCGTCCGGGTCTACGCCGATGAGGGAGAACTGGTGTGTGTTGGATGGATGGACGGACAGATGAATGAGTGCTGGAACCGGAGTGAGTGAATGAAGAGGCTTTGGGACCCAATAAAACGAGGCGTGCGCTTGTTTCAGCCGCTTTTTCTTCCTTTATCATTATCTGTAAATACTCTGAGGACCGGCGGCAGGCCCGGGTTTGGGAAAGACGTCATATAACCGAGCGTTTGCACGCCGCAGGTTCCCGATCTGGTGGTTCACGAGGAGGAGGTGTACGAGGACGAGGATGATGAGAACGAGGAGGGCAACTGGAGGAACGATTACCCCGACGAGGGAAGCGACGGCGACAGCGACAGAGAGGAGCGCTACGGGGGTACGTGTGCAGGGCCGTTTCCCGGGTCAGAAAGTTGTTTTTAGGGCATGGTGTGGGAACGTTTAAGATCGCAAGCGTCCTCCAGTGACAATGTGTTCTATTCTTCTGGAAGATAGAAAGCTGTCAATGGCAAAGCTTTTTGTTTTCGATAAACTGCGGAAAACAAAAGGGGGACTGGATGAGTCCGGTGTCAAATCAATCAGTTATTAGTTTGTGACGTTTTAGCTGTTTTCTGCTTACAGAGAGCCAAATATTTGCTGAGCTATTCATTTGTACAACTCACTGAGTGGCTGGGGAGTCCCATGATTAGATAGTGACTCTGTAAGTTAAACCCCGCCTATTTTCAAAACGGGGCAACGGCGAACGCCCCAATTCAATTATTTCTGTGACGGTAAACATTACAAATGCCCAATTCACCAACCAACGCTGAGGGGTTGGTTGGTGAATTGGGCATTTGTAATGTTAGGAGGGTTAGGAGATTTCTTGTGTAGGAACTGTTGGAATGAGTAGGCACTAATGGGAAAACGCCATTAGTTACAACATTGGTTACTGAGTTAAAAAGCAGTGTTTGGTGGGTTCGTGATGCTATTGAAATGAAGAAAAGCACGAAACGATCCTACTTCTGTATTTAAAGTTTGTTCAAGCATTTAAAAGGAAGGCTAAGTGTCGGTATCAGTAGCATGATGGAGCCTCAGTTGTGGAACAATAGCACCCTCTGAATGGTTCGAGCGTGAAAAGAAACAGTTTTACGGAAAAATGGTGTTCTGTTGGTCAAGATTGTTTATCAGCCAGACTAACATTGAGATGCCTTGTTACAAACCCTTTAGGCCTTTGTGAGGGTGTAAACACTCTGTCTTTTAACGGTTGATGCACGGGGGTGGGTACAGGTGATTGTTATACACAATAGAACCTGGTTTTGTGATTTCTAGACCCACAAAGAGCAAGGCTCATGGGGCGAGTTCCTCTGGTTGATTTGGACCCTGTGGGGGGTCTCCACATTCTTCCTCATAGGCCACATCTAAAGATAAACCGTTAATTCGATGCGTCCCTGCCATCGTTCGACCGGTCCATCTTGACCGAGCTGGCAGTGACCCTTTGTGTCCCACGTGCACAGGCTACTGGGAAGAGGAGCACTCGTACAGCCGGAGGAGCTGGCAGCGCTACCAGAGGGAGGTGCTGCGCGAGCTGGGCTGCAGCGCCGAGGAAGAGGAGGAGGAGGACGCAGCAAAATATGATTCCGACTGATCTTCCTAAGCAGCACTTCCAGTAATGAAGCCACACTCTGTGGGCCGCTGTGTAGCCGAGAGCGTCTGATGGGTCACGTGCCAAACTGTGAGAGGATCACGCTCGGTTCATCTCTGCTACAAAGAGGCTAAAGGAGTGGGTGTCATTCAGTGTTTTTTTTCTTTTTGTTTTGTTTTTTTTAAATGGTGGAGTGAATTTGTGTGCGTTTATTAAAGTGGATGTGTGTTAGAATCGTTGCACAGTAGTGTGATTATGCCTCGTATGCTTCGTGCCGTTTCCACTTTTGTTAGTGAGGTGTCTAAGGCCGTGTGTGTTTGCAGTTTAGGGCGTTTGCATTTCGTGCGTAAGTGTAACTGTGCGTTAGGTTTTTTTGTTTTTTTTTGCATAATATGTACGCGTGCTGGAGAATCTTCTGCTCCAAATGTGTGCGGTTGGGTCAGAAATTCCTGTTTGAAGTTCAGATTGGTTCTCGGGTGTTTGTGGAATAAAAGTTTTTGTAAATATGTAGATGTGTATAAAAAAATAAATCTTTGAAAATAACTTTAGTTTTGTTTTTTTGACTGCCTCAGAGGAGTTGTGTTGCAGAGCAGTGAGAAACATTTTCTGGTTTATATCACTGTAAATGTGCTCCAAAAGAATCACATGATTCATCAGGGATACAACGAAAAAGTAGCTCCAACATCCATTGATGGGCACAAAAGAACAACACGGAAAGACTTGTTAAGTATATTTAACTTGAGACTGTGCAAATATCTGTTTTGTAACATTCAAAAACATCATCAAATACATGTATACTGTGACGGTAATATGCAAAAAAAGAAAAAAAAATGGCACCAACAGGACATGAAAGTATTTTCATAAGGCAACAGACAAACAAATCCCCCCCTTTTCCCAGCATAGTCTTCTTTGTGAGGCAGCACTTTGTGTTGTAAACAACTCAACACGTCGGGCAGAACGTGAGAGGAGCTACAGGCTTTTGTCGGTCTCTGTCAGCACGCAGAAGCAGCTGAACTGGGTGAAGTACGTCAGCGAGCCTGCGGAAGGAAAGAGACCACACGTTACGAGCCGATCCGGGGAGAGGGGGGAGGCTCTGTCCGTCGGAGGCCGAGGGGGGTTAGGCGGACTCACGCAGGAGCTTTGTGATGACCGGCGGCCTTTTGGACTCCGGCAGGTGGACGCCCAGGAAGTAGACGGGGACGCCCGACAGGGCGATGGCGATCCCGATCAGAGAGTTGAGGGTGTCGCTGTACAGGGGGACCGCCACCAGGAAGACGGCGCACAGGCAGAACACCACGGGGTAGAGCAACGAGAGCTGGGGGGAGGACAGTCACTTTGAGCTTGAATCTTTCAATGCATTACATACAAAGGTTTTAAAAAAATAAAAAATTTGTTTCAGGTGCTTTAATGATGAAATGATCAGATTTCTACCAACTTGTTTGGCTCATTTTTTTTACTGGATTTTAAAAAAAACAGAGATGCTATCATTTGCTGTCAAAACTATTTCACGAAGAGATTTGCGAAAAAACCAACAATTTAAAGGACCTTTTTTTTTTTTTTTTTTTACACAAAGCGCCATTTCAAGCTTACTGTATTGTTTGAGGTTAAAGTTAGCTTTTTTTCACCCCTTTCTTTTGTTTTGGTCACAAAAACACACGACAGTGGTGCATTTGGCTCAGGCGACCCACAGAGACGCCTTCACATCACTTCAACCAAATTACGAAGCTATCCAAAACACCCACCCGGAAGCGCAATTTCAAACAATGTATCGTTGAATTCGTTTTTTTTATTATGTTGCACTACTGGTGATGGAGACCCCGTGTCTGTTTTGGTATAAAAAGTAATCTCCAATATGACCTTTTGTGCTCATGGAATCGCAGCATCCCAGTCAGCCGTTTATTCAGTGGCATCGGTTCTATTTCAAACTGTTTGTTACAAAGAGCCCTCTAGCTAAACCTCTTTGGGAGCTAAATGTCATCTACAGCAAAAGCTCCCCTCTAATTCTGATATCTGTACAATTAGGACTGGATTTTGCAGCAGCTCTGCTGGGGCTGGACTTACTGAGTGTGTGCATTTTGTTCAACGTCGACTTTATGCTGAGCTTCAGTTGATCGCCTGGCAAAGAGAGCGGCTTTCCGATCGAACCGTCAACTAGAAAAAAAACGAGTACCTTGAGAGGCCGAGGCCTGTCGGGCTGCTTCCAGCGGAGGTAGATCTGACCGGCGACCGACAGCCCCATGAAGAACCAGTAGCTGAAGCTGTAATAGTTGATGAGCTGGAAGACGTCCTCTACTGTCAGGTAGATCAGGGACATGACGCACTGAGGGACGGGACGGTGGAGAGACGCATTAAAGAGAGGAGAACAATTAGTGTTCATGACCCAGGGAGAGATTTATAAGCAGAAATGTGTTTTAACCATCATAAATAGATTAGAGAACTACTAATAACCCACTTTTTATGTATTCTAAATTGACATAGAATATGGAACGTATCCAAATATGTCCCTTCTAGGCCACTGTTCTAGAAGGGACAAACCAATCACTGGGTGTGTGTTTATGTATGTATGTATCAATCAACATGCTGGGTTTAAGCCCCTTACATTGAAAATCAGAGCTGGGATTGGAGTGAATCTCTGGATGTGGATCATGGACAGTGCGTCTGGTAGGTGACCCTCGCGGGAGCCCACAAAGAACAACCTGGACACGGCAGACACGGTTAAAACGGGGCAGCGGAACATCGACGCTCGCCATTCAAGCCGTAGTTATTTTGACTAATGATATATATATATATATATATATATACCTGGATGCTGCTATGATGGAGGCATTGAGGCCCCCGTAGCAGGACAAAGCTACCGCGATGGGGATGGTCCAGCTCATGATGCCCAGTGTGTGATCTGCAAAGGTCTGAGAGAAACAAATAAACAGAGAAATGTGTTTGTGGTCCTCCTCTCGATCAGCTTAACTGACATTAAAGCTGCCGGTCCACTCACCACCGCCACGGCGTCGCTGGCCAAAATAGAACTGGCGTCCAGGACGGCGTAGTAGGCCACGTTGGTCAGGATGTAGATGATGGTGACGATGGGCATGGAGATGGCGATGGCCAGGGGCAGGTTCCTGGAACGTCAACCACACGGAACCCGGTTTTTCTTTATTTTTTCTCCCCGATTCAACCGCGGCGGGCGCGTTCTACCGAGACGGAAACGGGGGAAAGATCACCTCTCAGGGTTTTTGATCTCCTCCGTCACAAAGTTGAGGGTGTCCCAGCCGGAGTACGAGAAGAGGGCGGAGTACAGCGCCAGGGCCACGTCGCCGGGGTCCGTGGACGAGCCCTTGAAGGAGGACTCAAAGTTGTCGGTGAAGCCTGGGGAGGAGACGGCGGTTAAATGGTAACTGTGCTGGTTTACCGTAGTTTTGGGACTACAAGTCGCACCTTTTTTTACATGTTTTGGCCGATCGTGCAACCTATACTCCAGAGAGACTTATAAATGAAAAATTAAATTGGCAGATTCTCCATTAATTTACAGTAATAAAAGAATTCTACGTGACGGAGTTGCTCTATGTTTTAAAATGGCCACCGGAAACAGAAATGCAACCTATTCTGGGTTAACTTTTCATGTTTACATACCTGTATGTCCATGCAATCTAGTCCAGTTCGACTTATTTTTGGTTTATTTTTCTTTATAATGGATACAGTGGCTGGTGCGACTTATAGTTCAGTTCATACGACTATGTTTATGTTTATGCATTTGGCAGACGCTTTTATCCAGAGCGACTTACAGAGTGGACACAATATTACATTTATCATCAATAAGCACTGATAAGAGTCAGTGGTGACAGCAAGAGATAGAGGTAGATGGGACTACAGAAGGAGCTGTGGGGGGGTAGAGGTACGGGTTAGGGTTAGGATAGGAGATTCTCTTTGAAGAGGTGGGTCTTCAAGAGTTTTTTGTTCCTGTAGCGCTTGGTAGGTCGTTCCACCATCTTGGAACGACACATGTGAACAGTCTGGATTGTCTTAAGTGTGGTGAAGGCACTGCTAGACGACAATCCATTGATGACCGGAGTGATCAAGTTGTGACATAAGCCTTTGCAAGAGGATTCAAGTAGATGGGAGCCGTACCCTTAAGCACTTTGTAGGCTAGCATCAGGGACTTAATTTTGATACGGGCAGCCAGGGGGATACGGGCAGCCAGGGGTAACCAATGGAGTTCATAGAACAGACTAAAAAACTCCTCTAGATTGGAGACAAGTTGTTTAACCGAGTAAATCCGCGGCCCCGCTCACCCTGGCAGAGCTTGACGATGCCGGTGATGATGATCACGATGAGGGCCGCCACCTTGGCGTAGGTGAAAATGTCCTGCACGCGGGTGCCCCACTTCACGTAGGCGGAGTTGATGAAGGTCAGCAAACCTGTGGAGCAGAGTCTGGTCAGTTTTCCCCGGACGCCGGCGAGCCATTACAGAATCGGAACTCACATATGCAGGCGGCGGCGATGAGCCGGGCCGCCGCGTAGGGCGGCTCGCACGTGGGGAAGAGCGGCTGCACCAGGTTGTTGGCGAACGTGATGGCGATGACGGCCTGGCTGGTGGGCTCGATGATCAGCAGCGACGTCCACAGGCGGACGAAGGCGATGAAACCCCCGAAAGACTCCAGGATGTAGGCGTAGGAGGCCCCCGACTTGGTGATGGTGGTGCCCAGCTCGGCGTAGCAGAGGGCCCCCACCACCGAGAACACCCCGCCGATGGCCCAGATGACCAGTGACAGCCCGTAGGAGCTGCTGTACATCAGCACCCCTTTCGGGGAGACGAATATGCCCGAGCCGATCATGTTCCCCACGATCAGGCTGACCCCGTTGAGCAGCGAGATCTCCTTCTTCAGCTGCATGGTCTCCCTGGGCGAGTTCATTTTCTCGGACCCGTCGCGGCCCGCCATCGCGCTCTCCCTTCAAGGCCGCGCCAGCAGGAAACGACGGAGCGGAACGTGGGTGCTGCAGCCCCCCCCCACTGGTTCCCTTCTGGCTGCCTCTGGAACTACCTGCCTTAGACGTTCAGAAGAAGAGAGCGACCATTGGTGACGTTAGCATAGCCACACCCAAACCTACATCCACTTGACTGGACAAACTGATCAATGAGCCGGCAAACGTACCTTGACCAGGAAACCGAGAGGACCGGGGAAAGATCAATATAGTTGTGAAAAAAATTGGATTTAAGGCTTTAGTCTAAGCACTATGACTGATATACAGCATTAGACTTTCACTCATCCTAAAAAGACAGTTCTCGTTGTGCAGAATGGAACAAAAATGAAGACATCTGTATTCACCACTTTCAGTTTAATTCAAGCTTCACGCAAAGCGTGTTGATGGAGTCTTAAGATGTGATGCAAAATGTGCTTTTTTTCCCCTTAAGAAGGTAACCAGTTACAAACAAGAATCCCCAAAACAAACGGCTGAGTACTTTCAACACGGAGCAGGAAGCTGTTGTTTACAGAACGCTTTGGTATCAAGGGAGGCCGATGCTTTGTCTAAAAATATTTTTTTTCCATTTCTGGAGCTATTTCAATCTTTTTATGTGGTTCTTAAGAGTTTTTGAAAATGCTGAATGTATATTTGACCATGTTATTCAGTTTTAAAGATAAACTGAACCAAATGAAAGAAATACAGCCTATAGAAATACACACAGTTTTGTACCCATCTGAGAGAAAGATCGTTATCATCTGTGACTAAATGCCCTTTCAGGTATGTTTTCAACTAAGGAACCAGAGAAAGGGTGAGAGTAGGAGGAGCCAGGGTTTGGTAAATAGGGGACTGATGGCAGAAAAAAAGCTTTTACTACTGCTGTCTTTTTCTATGTTTGTTCTTGTTTTGTTTTTCTTTTATGGGAAAAAAACCCCACAGAACAACTGGAAACAACATGTACTGGATCGTGTACGTATTACAAAATGTTACAAAGCAGAAGCTAAGAATGAATAAGAAGTGAGCTGTCAGCCAGCCAGAAGGCTCACTCACATTGCATGGTTATTGTCACGAAAAGGTGAGAATTGTCTTATAACTGTCATGTCCATATTACAAATGTCCTCTGGCAGACTTCCTCCCCTCCCCTTGTGCTACAAAGTTAGGGTAATTTCCCAGTATACTGAGTGTGGATGGACTGTTCATCTTTTAGAGCAGACTATTTTGTTTGGTCTTGTTTTAAATAAGGCCATGGAGCTATGAAAGCATCAATGAGTGACGTGAATATCCATCTAAAGATACGAACTTATGTTTTCCCAGACTCGTATCTGATGAATAACAATATACAGGAACGTCAACGACTCTATTGTGGATTTTATCAAGTAAATGTAGGCTGCATTACGACATCTCTTTGTTTTCGCTTCAGACGGTAAAAATGATGACAATATGTTTGGTAGTCTAAGAGGATATTGCCCCTTTAAAAAAAAAAAAAAAAGGTTGCGTGGTTTTCGCTGTGAAAAGTTGTCTTAAGAAAAAAAACACAGATATGGGGTATCATTTGCTGTCAAAACAATTTCACGAAGAGATTTGCGAAAAAACAGCAACAATTTAAAGGAACTTTTTTATTTATTTATTTTTTTTACACAAAGCGCCGCTTCACGCTTACTGTATTGTTTGAGGTTAATGTTAGCTTTTTTTCACCCCCTTTCTTTTGTTTTGGTCACAAAAACACGCAACGGTGGTGCATTTGGCTCAGGCGACCCACGGAGACGCCTTCACATCACTTCAACCAAATTACAAAACTATCCAAAACACCCACCCGGAAGCGCAATTTGAAGCAATGTATCGTTGAATTTGGTTTTCGTTAACGCCGTGGAACTCCTTTCTTCCTGTGTCGGCTTTGCGCTGCCAACTTGTTTTTCTTTTGTCCCTTTCCTTAAAAATATAAAATGATAACGGCTCCATCTTCTATCAATATGCAGACTGTTTAGAGGCTATTCCTGCTGAAAATAAAAAACTAGGTCAAACATTCCCAGCCCTACCTGCACAGCTTCCACCTCCAGCGGTGCACTTGACAGCCAGCCAACTCGGCGTCCGCTTACGAAGATATCCGCAGCAGCCGTAAACAACTGGCTCCTGCCCTCCACAGAGCACGTCACGTGACTGTGCTATACTGCATGATCATCATATTACTGCATGCGTGCACATTATTTAATGCTAATTTACCTTGTCTTTGGAGCTAAATGGAACACATGTATGAGTTTAGAAATAAATTAAATAAAAAAAAAAGATTATAAAAAAAGATTTGGAAATTTTCAATAAAAATGAATCTTAAAAGTACATTTAAGACGGTAGACGTTGACATTAATGGAAATCCTCGTTTTTAAAAAGCCCACTCAATGAGCTTCCATACAAGCTATTTTGATTTCTGTGGCATAAATACAGAAATATGAGAAGGTAGGACAATAAAAAAAAATGGCAAAAATAGTTTGCTAGCATGTGTATGCCTGTGAAAATGTATTATTGTGACTATTTTAGACTCCATGTTATCTGGGGTCAAGAGGAGAAGTGTCTTGCTTTTTTATTCAAAAGGAGGCATTCTGGTGGTTGAATGTGTTAGTCAGAACCTATTTTCCTTTCTTTAAAAAAAATATACGCTCATTTTTTGCACAACTAAAAAAAGCTGCAAACGCAGTTACCTATGTTATCATACGGAGGCTTGATGGCCTTGTCCATCATCATTCTCCCTCTAACACAGGAGCCTGAAACTGTGAGCTTGTGAAGAACAAAAATGTAATTAGTGGGGTCCTGCTACAAGCATGGAGATGAGGAAATGCCCCCTAAAAAAGCATGTGCCATTACTATGTTACTATCACCACCTGTGAAACAGATTGCTTTACGTCAGTGGCACTCGGAAAGTTTGACGGGGCCAAATTTAACATATCAATCTTCTGGAAAGGACTCATGAAGAAAAAAAGTAGCTGTGATGTGATGGAACCCAATCCCAATTCTGTACAGATTTGTCTGTTCTCAATAAAAAGGACTGAAATATCCTTTTGCTTGGGTTCTTATTCATTATTCAAACATAAAATGATACTCAATAAAACATCCAGTCCAAAAAGAACATTTCCATTTCCAAGTACTGATAGAAAAGCAGTGTTCCATTCAAAACTATGTTTCTATTTTTCAGAATAATTTGATAATAGCTAACAATTTAGAAGTACCTGGACACGGTAGAGGGGTGTTTGTATCCCCATGGTCATGGGAGATATATTTTTGAGGGCTTCTGGAGGTATTGCCAATGGCATATTGGTAGCGATTAAAGGACAACCCTTGGTTCTTGGTGTAGAGGCCAGAAGCCACATGTGGACCCAAAATGGTTGCGGCGTTGGTGATTGCTAAAGACAAAACTTGGGTTTTTAGTCTGTACCAAGTCTGTTCTGGCAAACTATTTAACAGCCAAGTAAAGGAAAGCAGGGCTTGTTCCAGATTGTGCTTTGAACGTGTGGAGAACATGCCATGTGGAGAACTGAGGCTGTCACCTATGTGGCGTCATCAAATAGTGCAAAGGGGGTTTGTTTACTATGCCTCCTTTCGTGCTTCCTTTTGGAATGTTTGTCTTTTTATGCTATAAACATCTGGACTTTTGGTTCTGTGTTCTTAGTTTTATTTTTTGGTTTCAGGACTGGATTTAGATGTGGTCACTGTTACTCTGAGGGCTCTCGATTTCTCCATTGGATTCGTAGCTCAGATTCAGTCGCAGGTGCAGTCACTTCCTCTTGAGTTACTTTTAATTTCCCACCAACCACGTCAAAAGAGACCCAAGGGGCAGCACCAAAACATGATGGAGGGAGTTTAGGTCCCATACGGTCTGGGAACATGTTGGAATCCCCTCAGAAGGAGCTAGACAGTGTCATTGGGGAAAAGTATATCTAGATTCGTCTTCAGAAACTGTTGCCTTTTCAAACCAAATCTTGATAAGTTAGAGACAATGGATGGATGGGTGTGACCAGTTCACCCCCCCCCCCGCCGCAATAGCTGTGACTAAGCTATTAGTAACAGTAAACAAGTAAAGACACCCAAAATATTAAATAAAATAACAAAAAAACAACTGGTTCAAATGGCTGTTTCAAAGTAATGCCACATATAAAAAAGCATCTGGAAATTTTAATAAAAAATGACTATTTTCAGTATTTGTCTGTTTGTGGTTAAAGTTTCTTTTTTATGTTACTTTTTAGGTTTTTGTCTGCTTTTCCAAAAAGAAAAAGGCCATAAATATGGACGATATCAAATGTCACGCTAAGGCATATTTTGAGATGCAAACAAACACGAAAACTCTAGGGAGGAAGCATAAAGGAACACACACAGAGGATGGTCAGGAAAACAGCAAGCAGTAAATGTGCTTACTGTGCAGTGCTGCGCACACAAACACACGATCAGACAGCAACAAGCCCTTTCATCACATTTTTTATTAAATCTCTCTAAACAATTGAAAAAGTTTTTCCATACATTAAATGAGGGCCCGGAAAATATTTCAAAAAGTGCAAACGTCAAAGTTAAACTCAACATGATTAACTGGGGATAGAAAAACTTTTTTTTTTCACAATTTATGATGACTTGACATTTCAAAATCATATTGTACCAAATCCATCTCAACAACTACACTTTAAATAACACATAACTTGAATGGAGTTCAGTTCATTTTGACAGTAAAGACTGACTAATTCTATTTGAACACTTTCTAAATGGTCAGGGGCCAAGTTTCACAAAACAGTGACTTTACAATGGACATACATGAACAGATTCTAAGCAAAGGAAAAGGATGAGATAAAAATCTCACAGAGCTTTAATAACGCACTGATCAACTAAAGTGCTATTTCAAAAGACTTTTAAAAATCAGCTATAACAACAAAGTACAAAACAATAAAACGTGAAACATTTCAAATATAAAAGCTTATCTAAGGTACAAAGGGCTTTTTGCTAACCATTTTGTCTTTATACATTATATATTAGAAATCACAGCACAGTAACCAGCCATTATTGAGCTTTTTTTTCTGGAAATAAAGCTCAACTTTGCTTTAAAAAAAGATTATTTAAATCTCAAATAAATTCTGTCTCGACTTGAACTAGAACCAGCCTAGGAACTGTGCACACAGGCTCCTGGCCTGTGCTATACTTCCTGAGTCAATGTGGTGCGCTCTTTTGTGGCTCTGACACCAACAACAACCTGATAGGACCAACTGCATCAAACTTAGTCTGTTTTTCAAGAGATTCATAAATCGATTCTCGCATATTTCAGTTAGAATGTAATTGACAAGTTTTAACTTGATTTCCTGTCTTTAGCCATGAATCCCCCCCTCAGACACTTAAGTACCAGATAAGAAAAAAAGCACAACTTAGCTAATTTTATTTGGGGGTCTCTTTTCAAATTAAATTAGATTCAACTTTATTTATATAGCGCCACATCACAACAACAGTTATCTCACAGCGCTTTCCAAACAGAGCAGGTCAGACCTTACTCTGAAATGTCTGAAATACCAAAGTAACCCCTGTCACACACAGCTCTGCGTGTGTACGCCACCGATGATTAATTAAAGAAGCTAAGTAGAAGAAACGAAAACCTTTTACAGCCTCCTTCCACCTTCGCACTTCAGTTTAAGCTGCTCCAACAACAGTGCTGAGGAGGTGCACACGTTCTCATTTTCTCAGACCCGTTTGTGTGCATACCTGTGGATGTCGTTCTGCTCCTGGGCTAAAATACTTCCAGGAAAACCTGACTGGAATTGCGTTTAGTCAACTTTCACCCAAATGCGAAACCTGCCGCTTTAACTGAGCACTTTTCACCTCACACAATTTCTACAACAACACCTTACAGCTATGAACCATACACGGAGGTTTAAATAACTAAGTTCAGTTTGTACATAAACAGTCTTTTAGAAGTTGTTGCTGATAGAATTTATGAAGAAAGTAGGAAATACTGACCATTATCCCATCATCATTAGCTCAAAAGGTGAATCCTCTGCCTGAAGCTGTAGACAGAGGCCTCAAACAGACAGTGTGCGTGTGTCCAGCTGGTCTGTGGAGTAGGACCAACGTTCAGCACACCCAAAGTTGGTATAAGCAAAGAGGGAATCTACAGCAACCCAGGCAGAAGTGGATCTTTCACATCAAAAAGCCTGCTGGGTTCCACACCATGCCTTCCTGCGGCCCCGTTAACTCTTCTCCTGGGACTGCAGCATGTGTTGCCTTGTGGATCCGGAGCTGGTGCTGCCCAGAACCGAGCCGCTCGCCTGCTTCCGCATCCAGTCCAACATGCAGAACCTCAGCATCAGGAAGAAGCCTGCGGAACAAACCCGAACAGAGATTCACTCACTCCTCAACTCTGCCTTAATGACCTCTCTTATTTCAGAATCCAGTTAAAAGCGGAGAATTCAATCGGTTCTTAAATACCCGGATTAAAAGGCCTGCTGAAAACAGAGTAGCAGAGTAAGCTGAACCGATTGGCTCAGTCATAAAGGAGCTAAAAAGGGATTAAGTATTTGGATCTGAATCAAAAACAGCATGCTGCTGCATGTGAGAGGAAGCAGCTTTAGTTCGGATAGGCAGCAGAAACACAACAGCTTGATTAGCGTCAGCTATTGTCTCGTTCCCACACTGATACTATAGACCTCTGGTTCCAAATACAGTCAGCAATCTCTCAGACGACAGTCGTGCAGGTTTTATTCATGAGCAAAGCAAATCTGAAGCAAGGTTCTGAAAAGTGTGAGAACGGCCATTTTCTGACTGACGAATAGGGAAACACAGTAGACTGTGTTGTGTTATCACAGGGTAGTGACGTTAGCTCCGTCCCACCTTACCTAAGCTCTTTAAAGACAGGAAAAAGAGGATAAACATTAAAAACATTGTGAGTTGGCAGACCACAAACCTTGAAAGGAATTTAGGATGCAGAAGAGGAAGTGAATGACATCTGACAGTGGTTCGAAGTTCAATAAGGCCAGACCCCAGGCTGTGCCGAAGAGGCAGCTGAGGCCCCAGATGCTGAGGAACGCCACGCGGTTCTGATTCCATTCATCCCTGGTGCGGATCTTCCGGAAGACGAGGACCAGCATCACGAGCCCCGATAACACCAAGATGACCAGGGCCGTCATATTCGTGAAGTAGTGAGCCAGCAAGGCCTCACCGTTGATTTTCATCCAGCACCTGCAGAGAACAACAACAATCAGATAGAAATAAACATAAAAAGGACATACAGGGGTCAGAATACTTTTTAAAACTTTCATTTTCGCCGGAACCTATTCACTCTCCACATGTAGCTGCCTGTCGAAGAACAGAAAGCTTACATCAGGTAAGGGTTGGAGACATCATCGCTTGGCACGACCTCTCTCTGACCATAAATATTCCCCACTGCAAACAGAATCCCAACAGGAACAACGGGAAGAACTGGAAGAAAATAGGTGAGGGTCAAACATGCACTGCATATCGCTTTGATACACCCTGAGGCAGATTTTCAGAAACACTATTCACAGTATACACCTACCGAAGCCGACCAGGTTCCAAACGTAGGGCTTCGGTGAGGGGCTGAAGACCATGTAGACCAACCAGAAGGTGTGGAAGGTTTCTATGCCCATCCAGGTGAATGAGCTGAGCAGCGCGTAGTGGAGCATCCCCCCCACGCAGCTGCAAACATCTTCCCCTCCCACATTGGCCAGGATCCCCGTGAAGAAGAAAAGCAGACTGAGTAAAGCCAGAGATATGGCTAGGCCCAGGTGGATGGGAATGGACAGCTCCTTTGACCGTCTACTGAGAGGAAAAGAGGTTAGAGGTGGGAAAAAAACCAACAATAATGCGATGGATGAACTCTTTTAAGTGAGAAGTTACCTTTTCCTACAAAGATGAACAATGATAGCCACACAGCTAATGAAGGACACGGCGCAGCCTACTGATGTAATGGCAGTGAGCGCCAGCAGATGGCGCACTGGTCGAGGCTCCATTTCCTGGTGATAAAGTGCGATGAAAGATCCAATTGGGGTCTGTGTTCTCAACACTGTGCACCTCTGACTGCTCTCTTCCTCAAATGTTGAGTTACTTTAATGTCTCTGTGGCTCTTTTTTCACATCACACACACTGGTATTTATCTGATGTTTGCCTTACCACCAGCACAGTGAAGTATGTCAGATGGTTGCACTGGCACTCTGTGTGTTTATCCCCTCTCACAACTGTCTCGCATCCATCCGCCGACCACTTCATCAGCAGAGAATCTGCACCGAGAAAATGAATACTGTATGGTGTGCTGTGCTATGAAAATACATTACGCTGCAAAGGAAGGAGTTCTGATATGTAGTTCAAAGGCTACAAACCTTTCCGAGTGTCCCATGAAACACATTTCCTCGAATGCTTTTTCTGAAACAGAGAAGAGAAAAACAGGACACAGTTTTATTCATGTTCACAGAGCTTTTCATTTTTCTTTTGTGACATAATGTACAGCAACGACAAACTGCGCCCTGAAAGCAAGAACAAAAAAATGGTGCAATGAAAACGACCACATTTCCAGATGCTAATGATCAAAACGCATTTAAATGTGCTGCCGTGTGCAAAAACTGTGCAGACAACAGATTGAGCGATGTGAGGAGTGTGACGAGAGGTTAGACAAGAAACCTGCAGGTGGTTTCTGTGTGCTGTCTGAAATGCTGAAGAAACCCAACAGACGTCACGGAAAAACGAGAGCAAGGTCTTCTAGTCTTTTCTTCCTTTTTTCTTAACCCACATTTGTGGTATTTAGTGCTTATTGACATATATAGTGCAAACAAAATCACGTCTCGTACAGGCCATCCATCCATCCATTATCATGACTGCTTATTCCCTAATGGGGTCGCGGGGGGGGGGACCGGAACCTATCCCAGGAGTCAATGGGCGAGAGGTGGGGTACAACCTGGATGGTTTGTACAGGCCAGTGTTAAACAATTTAGTGTACAAGTTAAAACCACAAGTTTTCATAACCGCTGTTTGCGAACACTAACGAGGACTAAAAAAAAACGTGTCACCAAATGACATAGTTCTTTACTCGCTGGTTATGCGAGCAGACACACTTACAGGTATGACATCGTGGTTAAAGCCAATCTTTATTGGCTCCTTCAGACCAACGATGACTTCATTCTCCACTGATATTTCCACCACATCGTTCAGAAGCTTGGCCTCCTTGTGCCCCTCCTGAAACACACACACATATTTACCTTCCCCTCTTTCCTTTATATTTGCATACGGAGGAGAAAAAGCATCTCAGACTTCAGACAATCCAACTGATAGCAACAGTTTAAAAAAAACAGCAGGCAGGCAAGCCATGAGGTCAATGAATATTTCCTCTGGTGGTTATCTTTGTTGAGCTCAAACAAACACTGGCCCACCTGGAATATAGGGTTCCTGTTGAAGAACGTGATGACCACTTTGTTTGTAACTTTTGTCAAATGGTTCACAGCATGAGGAATCAGGACAGTAATGGCGGGCTCTGAGGATACGGGCGAAGTGGCCTAAAAAACAAGATGAACACAGATGACACAGTGGCAAGCCGTGGCTTAATCCAGCAGAGTGAACTGTTTGTGGTTGCAGCTGGATCTGCCGTGAAACATCTTTTTGCAGTGCAGAGTCTGAGCTGGTACTGCCCTGCGGCTGTTTGTTTTTCAGAACATCACAGTCCCCACAGAACAAACAGCCTTAATGACTAGATCTGCAGATTACTGGGCGGCTTTATTTTAAGGCCATCTGACAGAAATTGTCATCTTTTGACATCTCTCCTTTACTTAGGAAATAAAAAGTAGCAACTCTGCTCTTTGATGTGGCTAGCCTTGTACCTATAACTTTCAGCTAAATCGTCCCCAACTTCAGAAGCTGCTACTTAGTCTGTGCCTGAATAAAAAGCTTCAGGGTTAGGGTGAGTCCATCCACTATGGAGACACGATGAACAGGACGGCATGCTGATTAACACACTGTGGTTCACTTTAAGTTTGGATTTTACACTCCCTCAGCTTCTGCTAAGATGAGGCATATCTGTGAAGATTCTCATTCATCCAGTTCATGGCCTTCTAGAAAACTTCACGTCAAGTTGCCTAAATTGAACTTTTCAAGCTTAACATGGGGCAATTTCTTCAGTCAAACTGATGCAATCCCTACAGCAAAAACAGAGAGGATGGGAAAGATGGAGCCACACGCTGTTTGTGTTTTGCCTTACTGGTGATGTGATGTTGCTGCCTGTTACACTCTTCAACACTGACTCAAATCTGCGGGCGCAGGGAGGCCTCATCCCAGTCTGGACAGTGCTGGACACGGGCACAAACACACACAATGGGGATTTTAGGTTGAGAGCAAAGTTATTTTAGTCTGACACACCCTTGCAAAGTTTAATGCTTAGCTTCCTGTCAGGAGTACGAATGTGCTCTGTGATTACACCGATCTTCACATATTGGCTTTCACAAACAAGATTATACTAAATGAGGAAGGGTGTTGTCACAAATACACGTCCTGTCAACTTGAGCACCCAAAAAGCATAATTTGATTTTAAAAAAAGGTGTTAAACTTACTTGCTGAGGAAGAATCGGTCTGCTTGTTTACATAATTCATCTGCAAAAAAAAAAAACACAACAAAAAAAAAGTCTTGAGTATTTCATTCATCAGACTCTAAGCATGTTTCAAAGTTTGCAAAGCACCATAACAACATGTGGCAGATGGAAGGTAAAAGAGAATATCTTTGGTTAATAATTGAACCAACAGAGACAGAGAAATGTAAAAAGAAGACATGTAAAGGAGACGCGGGGCAGCATGGCAATGTGGTGGTTAGCAGCATCACCTCACAGCACTGCTTTTACCTCAAACGGTAAATTTCAGTCCTCTGTACTATATTTGTAGGTGTACCAACAAAAACAAAACAGATCTAGAAGGTTAGACTATTTGAATACCAATAGGCTCTCTAAAAAAGCTGTAAACTGTAAGCTAAAGAGCCAGAATTCTCATACTCCAGTTCTGACTAGAACAAGAAATTATGGTCATATTAGTCCAGAATAGACTATTGAAGCAGCTCTGTTTGTGTGCAAGTCTCTTTGTGGTCTATTGCAAAACCTGCTAGACCACAAGCTCTATGAACCAACTCTGGCTCTGAGAACACCTGGTAGTGGTCTCCTGCTTGAGCCCAATTCCATGTTCCAATCAGACCATCTACCCTCTCTTACCAGTGTTGATGGACTGTGCGTCAAACGTGTAAGCAGCCCTTGTTCTTTCTGAGAGGGTGTCATTCCTGACTGCTCCATTGGCGATGCCATACTTTGCTTCTGGTGCATTGGCACCGTTGGTCAGGTCAGTGCAGCAGGTGTCCTTCCGGCTTGCAGGCCAGCAAAGAGTGAGATTCTTCCCTCTTACCTGAAAAAAAAAAAGGAAAAATGTATCTTATTGTGCTAATAAGACAAAAATGTACTGTACATTCAGTGTGTTAATTCTGCCTTTCAGCACTCATTTTCGGGTGCTGAGAAAAAATGAAGTTCCATGCCCCATAACTTAAAGACTTTTCTGATTTACCTGCAGTTTCAAATGGTCCATCAGCGGCTCCCAGTACAGACAGAAGTTACTGTCCTCTTCTGAACTAAGGCCAAATTTGCTGAGATCAATCACCTCAGACCTCATACACCAGGCGGTGACTTTCCCGTTGATGGATAGTGTGCTCTCATTGGCTGAAATGGAGATCCCGTCACAGCCAGTAGAGAGGTGGATGTTAAGGCGCAGAGAGTTCCTGCCATGACGCCAGGTGCCGCAAAACGCAAAGTCTAGGTCATTTTGACTGGAGGCTGTTAAAATAAAGAGCACAATGAATAGTGTGTTGTTTTTTTAACCACGTGTTCAAACACTGATTTTTTAAAATAGTGGTGCATGGAGTTTTTGGGAGGCACGGTGGTTTGGTGGTTAGCACCATTGCCTCACTGCAAGAGGCTTGTGGGTTCGACTCCCTGGGGAAACTGGAACCTTTCTGTGTGGAGTTTGCATGTTCTCCCTGGATCAGTGTGGCTTTCTCCCACCGTCCAAAAACTTGCATGTTAGGTTAATTGAACATTCCAAATTACTCCCTTAGGAGTGAGTGCGAGTGGTCGTTTGTCATTGTATTTCTCTGAGTGGCCCTGCGATGGACTGGCAGACCCCACCTCTCGTACACTGGCCACTGGGTTAGGCTCCAGTCCCCCCGCAACCCCATTAGGGATTAAACGGTTATGAAAATGTATGGAGTTTTCTAATAGATAAGCTATTGTTAAACAATTGTAACCACTTCTGCTGCCTTCACCCTATTCTAACAAAAGCTGACTTTAAAAAAGAGAAGTGGATGGATACATTTGAGCACACTTTCTGTTCGTAGAATGTAGGTGGATAAGGAGGTTTTAATGTTTCAGTTACTTTGGTAGAATTGATGCATGTTGTATAATGTATATAAAATCATCATGTGCTTCATGTTCAACATACACTACACTTCCAAATGCAACTTCAGACCCAGGTTTTAGCCTGTTAACAAGTGCAAGTTGTCCAATATACATATGGTGTGCTGAACCGCCTTTGTGCATAGCAAACACTGTAAAAGGAGTTAAGAAGCTCTCTGTTGTGAAAGTGGACCTGTGGAATTGCTGCATGGCTTAAAAAATGTCTAGGTATGACTCATTACCATTGTGATGGTCTTTACTGGAGTTTCAATGGACTGACCCTTGGTTGGTTTTTTATACAAGTGAAAGTGCTATGGTGAGAAGTGGAATTTTCACACCCCACCTTTTACTGGTAGTAAGAGGCCAAAGTACTTCCTACCATACCAACACTTTATATAACAGGGCGGCGTTATGTCGATATTCATGTTTTCACACCCACAAATTCAGAGAAGAAAACTTAACCAGGCGGCGTGCCTCTGCACTTTAGGAAAGATGTTCAAAAGGAGAAAATGTACACACAGCATTTATCAATTCCATGCAGTTAAATTTGATTCATAAAGCCAAATCAAAACCAATGTAATCTTAAAGCCTTTTTAAAAAAAAAAGACCGATTCAAGCCAATTAGATCAATGACATTACATGTGGAACACCTGTTAAGAAGGTTTCTGGTGTTATGCTGTTTTTCCCCAATGTTAAATTACTTTTCTTTAGGTTTTTCAGTCTCCATATTTTATCCAGCAAAAGCTTCTATTTCATTGTTCGTTTATACAGAGAAGAAACACAGTCGGTGTAAGGACTCCTAATGCAAGACATTACAAAGCTAAAGAAAGTAAAAACTGGTAAAACATGGAATGATGTTACCATGATGGAAAAACAAAAAGATAGAGAGTTATGATGGGGCATAAAAATGTGGTCCCAGTGAGATACTCTTACCAGAGCAGAGGAGGGCAATCAAGAGAAACACAGACTTCAGAAGATCTGCCGGTCGGGTCTCCATCAGCAACAACTAAAACACAGGGACACAAAAACTGTAATGCAGCAAAAGCGGAAAAGATCTGCAATTCATTCCTGATTGTGATAGAACAAAAGTCACTCAGCAAAATGAGGCATTCCACAAACTAAAAGCATTATCTTACAGGCTGCAGGATTAAATAAAGGAAAGCCTTGCATACATTTGTAGCCAGTTCATGACTATAAAAGGCAGAAGTTTAAAAGAAAAGTCCAGCATATCTTTCACACTGTGACTCTGTTCAGACATACATCCTGAAGAAAACAGAGGGTACCCTGACACAGCACAGGGCTGACATAATAAAACCTTTTTTATCAATACCATTCTTATCCAGTCGCCTGTTTTGTTATCTATGCACTCCTATCAACGAATACAAATGAGTGCAGGCTCAAAATACACACAAGGACCCTTATGGGCTCTTATCAATGGAAACAGTCTTCCCCTTTAACTGCCAACTGCACACATGCACCAACAGCTCCCTCTATCCATTCAAGTTCATTTTTCTTACATAGCAGATGTCCACTGTTTTGGTTACGACCAGCCAACGGTTCCTCTAAAAGAACAGCGGTTTACGTCATGTTACAGTCCTAACCTAAAAACAGACTGAAAAGGTCTCAGACACTGTCTACATAATAACACACTTTTCAATTTGTAGAACTGCCACATTCTCACACCGAACGCTGCTCCTTTGAGCACGTGCCATTACGGTCTGACATGCGTGACTGGGAGAATTTGCGGGTAGAGAGATGCTGATTTCAGAGGGGAAACAGAATAGTTACAGTTCTCCTCAACATCAGAAGATAGACAGGAACTGACTGAACCACAATGCAGTAAGCCGCAGCAGAAAGGAAATAATAGTCTAAAAATCTAAGACAAAAAAGCAACAGGGAGAGATACACCTAACGGTAGAGTCTGGGGTTGTCAGGTGGCTATTCATAAATGCACAGTCGAGACACACGCCAGACGCTTGAGAAGTATTTCCAACATGTACAACTGCATAACAGTGAAAAACGCCAGACATAAAAGCAGACAGAACAGTTCAAAAACACACACTGGGAAAACAAATGATTTTCACATTTTCATGAGACAGAAGTGACCTGAAAGTTTTGTTTCCCTGGTTATTCTTTTGTACTGAATTCAGACACTGCACATATGACAGTCACCTACAGTCACCTCAGTCACTGGCTTGTAGATGATTCACTTCCAGGATTTGGCATCATGGGACTCCTGTCTGAGAATTATGTTTCATCTAAATAGACAGCAAAAGCGAAAGCTGTCTGTTCACAGGACAAAGACACAAGAAGTCCCCATATTTCTCAATATAAATTCAAGTACTTCTCATATTCTAAAGTTTTTTTTACATGGGACCAATGATGTAATAAATTGTACGGTAATCTTTCCTAGATTTTCTGTTCTGCTTTCATCTCTACCTATTTCTTCATCTCTATCTATCAGATATACTTCTAACTGTATGGATAAAAAAATAGATAAAGGGCTCTTCAGCAATAGTACACCTTGACTTTATATCTGATCTGATTTCAGCTGGAAAATATGAAGCTAAACATGGACAATTTTCTCTTTCACTCTGACAAAAGCCTGGGTGCATGGGAGCCAACCAGAACACTTCATTGGAAATAAGAAGATTTGTCAATGTTTGCACTTGTTGAATATAATGCAAGAGTATACTGTTGATTGCTATGAATAAGCCAAAACTATATCAAACAGCCTAGTTCTCACTTCAGCTTACTCCAAAAATATATATATATATGTGAAACTGTATTCTCTGTTACATCACATTTCTCTGTGGTTTTACCAATTCCTCTTTCAATTACATCAAATATTGAGAAAGAAAGGTACTATGGTGTGATTTCAGTTGGTTAATACTTTGGAAACCAATATACTCCACACATATGCAGAGAAAAGCATTCCAGTAGTAATGCTGAAGTCAGACGTCACTGTAACCTCAACTTAAGATGCTCATCAACATCCAGAAACAGCCATAAAGAGCTACAGATCAAGTATAAAAATTAATTCACCTCAGAAGAAAAAGGTACATCACCTTTAGTTAAGAAAAGTGCTTAAGAATCCAATAAAAATTGAAAAATAATTGTAGCCATATGCTTCCTTTAAAGTGGGCCATCAAGAGGTGAATTTTGTTTGTATTAGAGCTAACAACTTACTAATTTTGGTGCATTCAGCTCACAGTTGGTGTGGTTATTATAGAGCCTTTCTTCAACTTGTGGTAGCGGATGTGTAAAGTGGTCGCTGCATCAGCGAACACTTTAATGTTTACTAGTCTGCTGTGGTTCTGTGATTACCAAGATTATAGATTATACAAAAACACCGTAGTAGCACTGTTGTCTGTAACAACAGTATATGTTTTGTGCATCCATCCATTTGCTATGGACACTAATTATAATTCAGCCAAGGGATTATATGTTTTCTGATATAGTGAAAGAGTTATGGAACCTAAAGTATAGTTTGGAAAGATTTTCAATGCACAAAAAAAATTAAAAAAGTTTAGCTAAATTCAATTACTTCAAATCATTTTTTGTTTAACTTTTCTTTAAAACAATGGTAACCCTGAAGCACAAACACTGTGCTTCTTTTAATCAAATAAAAATCCGCCCTAAAATGTAAATACAAATAGAAAATTCCTTTCCAGGTTCTTTAATGGCTGAGCAAATGTAATCTTTCTCAGATCATAATTTTCTATTTTCCTTCCGTTACTCAGCATTGAACCTGCTGAATTGGCATGGCATGTAAGCTAAGTCCTTCTCCATTCCCACGCCCACCATTGTCCCCATGCTGCAAAGCAGGCATCAACTCAGCAAAAGAATTTCCCCTCTTCTTTCAGTTCCAGGCGCATTTGTGAGAGCGAGAGCTGGCATAAAGAGTGTGTGTGTGATTGTGAGTATGTAAAACTGGAACAGTGCTCATGCACCATTAGCTCAATTCTTCTTCTCAATTCAAAGTATGACTCACTCATCTTGAAACTGCATCTTTTAACACTCCACGTCCTACTTTTACATTGAGACTTCTTATTTGTTTGTGAGAATTCATGGGAAATCCTCCGAGAACAGACAAAACAATGAGACAGACACCCTGACCCTTCTTATCACTGTCCGGTCCTTTGTGTATTCCAGTAAACTTTCTGAGTCATCATCATGTAAGGGTCTGACACGCTTGTCATTATCAGTCATTTTGACTGAGCTCTGGTGGGTTGTCACACCACTCAGCTAGCTATAAGCAAAGTAGGTTACAGGCCAAATCTTCTCAATGATGTTTGAATATCAATACATTGGTGGTTTGTACAGTCATCTTCTACAACAACTTCATATATCCATCCATCCATTATCAATACCGCTTATTCCCTCATGGGGTCGCGGGGGGAACTGGAGCCTATCCCAGTGGTCAACGGGCGAGAGGCAGGGTACACCCTGGACAGTCCGCCAGTCCATCGCAGGGCCACACATAGGACATACAAGGACAAACAACCACTCACACTCACATTCACTCCTAAGGGCAATTTCCCCAATCTCCAATCAGCCTAACATGCAGGTTTTTGGACTGTGGGAGGAAGCCGGAGTACCCGGAGAGAACCCACGCAGACACAGGGAGAACATGCAAACTCCACCCAGAAGGGTCCTGGTTCCCCCGGGATTCGAACCCAGAACCCTCTTGCTGGGAGGCGACAGTGCTAACCACCACACCACCGTGCCGCAACTTCATATATTGGCAATAAAATTAAGTCAAACATTGATCAAAGCTGACACTCGCTATGTTTTTTTGTTTTTTAGTTGGAGCCAGCAGTAGGCAATGTAAGTGCTGTCATGTTTAATGGAGCGTTTCCACTGGTGCCTACTCAGGGAGGCTCAGCACGGGGTTGGACATCAACCCTTCTCAGGGTAACAGGACAACAACAAACATCTGATTGGATTATATCTGTGACCGGAAACGTTGAAAATGCGGGTTTACAGGTGCTGCAAATGTTGTCCCGTGCTTGTGTTGCGTATGAATGACGTCACGCACCAGTCGGCCTGTCTTTATGCTTGGCCGCAATTTGTAATGGAAAACCACCTATACTGTGTAGGGCTGAGTAAGCACCAATGGATGAAACGCCATAAGTTTCAATACAGCAAAGGTATTCCCCACTCAAAAAAGAGTAAAAAAAAGGTTTTCTGTTTTCTATATTTAAACGGGGAATGTCTAAGTGTTTTTATACAAATTGCTGCAAGTATGCAACTGGTGAAAAGCTATCCTACCTAATTTCACTCATCTGTGTTTTCAGAGGCAGTTAAGGTTGCCCTCATGAAGCTAAGGCAAGGTTTGTTTCAATTAATTGCATACAGCTTTCAATGAGCACCACAAAGTTTTGACATACAAATGTGTGCTTCTGCTGTTAAACAAAACAAAAATTCAGATGCCATAGAGAGAAAAACGAGAGTGGCTTTCCCCCACTCTTTTGTATTGGAGACTAAAGGGCATGTTGGCATTGTTCTGTCAGGGTTTGTAGCCCATAAATAGTAAAGCAATTAGACAGAAAGATTGTGAGAGGAAGGTCATATTTCACGACCATGAACAAAATCACTCAAGAAGTAAAACTATGGGTATGACAACTTGAAAGTAAAATGTCCTTCGACTTTTTCAATTTCCCCAATTTTCTTTGATTTTAGTTACACCCCTAACAATTTTTGTCACTTAATTTAACTTTAGTTCCCTTCAATAAATTTCTGATTGCATGGCAAGACAATCAGTTGCAAGACTGAAAAAATTGTTGCAGCAGTTGTCATGCAAACCAGACCGTTCCATTTTTTTCTTTCCTGCATTCAAACCACATTTTCATGTCTGCAGTTTACAAGTAATAGTTACTTCACTTCCACCAAAAATTACCTTACATAGTGGTTATTGCTTAAATTATTCGGTGTTTGCATGGGATAGGACTCTGAAAGCATCAGACAACTTCCTCTGAGCAGGGAAGCAGAGAGGGATTCATGAGGTAGAAGGACTAAGCTGTCCTGCAGATTCTTTTAAACAGCGTGTCCAAAAAGTTGCTAAAATATCTTGAGCTGTACCACCACTGTATTGTGAGTGGGTGAAAATACAGGCACACTTGCAGGGAAAACAAGCCATCTGATACACCACCAAAGTTTTATCCAAACATGCTTTTAGAAAAAAAGGTCATCAACAATGAAAAAGTTCCCACTCCTTCCAGCCCAACGCTCCATCTCAATTTTCATTTAATATCCTGTGAAACGCAAGCCTTGTTAACAGTACAATACCTTCAACCGACTGCTTCCTGCCCTCCTCAGCAGTCTTTTAACACTTTTCGGGTCCGACCATCAATTTGATGGCTCCTGGTGAGTTGTAACCCTTCAGTTTTCTCAATTTTGATCACGTGCAACACATTTTAGGCTTTACAAAACCATTTAGATAAACCAGACACTAACATAACTTGCAACTGGCAGATTTTAACAGGATTTTATTGCCCAGCAGCAACTTTCAGGCTATATTTCCACTACTCCTCCGTGAACAGCAGAATGAGGCAGCAAAGAATGTGAGGGGAAGAGTAATCCAAGGAACAAAAGCAGCTCTTTGTTGTCGTGCTGTAGAGCTGAAGTGACAGCGCGCATGAATAAGGGTCAGAGATCACTCACTGATTCAGAGGCTGTATAAAAGACAGACGCACACACCTAAACCAACACACTCGGACGGCTCCCCTTCTTTACACAACGTGGATTAAATGAAATAGGAGGGTAGCGCCACTTCATGACTAGTTTGCCAGTTCAGATTATCAAACTGAAGCTTTTTGTTTTCATCCTACTCCCAGTATCAGGCACAGTAACACACAACAAAGTCACCTTGAGGAAATCTCACAGGAACCAGCTGCTGCTCACATTTTCTCCTGAAGAGACAGTATGTGTAAAACGAGAGGCAGAGCTGCAAACATGTGAACCAGTTATGAGGTTACTTTCCTGTTTTAAAAGTACAAGAAGCAACATGTTATGGATGCCATTGCCTTGTTGTTGAACTTCACACACTCTGAGCTGATCACAGCATATGTGTGAAAATGAAAGGTGACAGTAATATACGGAGCAGCTCTAAACAACATTACTGAAAGTGAAATTCTGCCATCAATTTTTGTTGGCGTTTATCAGTTTCCCACAAACTGAATGCAAACTCACTCGACACAAACAAGCCAAGCTATGTCAAAGCAGGAGTGGGAATAAAGGTCCTCTGCACTGAAATCTTCAGTGGGGAGTTTGAACTAACACCACTGAAGTGGAATGCTCCCTAGGCTACATTTGTGTTGCATTCTTTGCCATAGCACCATAGTGATGCACCGTGCACGCCTGCTTTGTCTGTTTCCTCACATATCTGCTGAGGAAATTGGAGGAGCAGGTGGAATGTTGCAGATATGTCCTTCAGAGCCTTGAATAAATCAATAACAAAACGGCACACTCTCTGACACATGCACTGACAAAAGCCGACATATCATTAGGCCTAAATCACCCACAGAGTGTCATTAAATGTAGGTCACTGCCTATAGCTTTCTTTCAGCAGAAAGAGAATGATTTTCCTCAATGAGTCACCCAGTTTGTATTTCAAGAAATGGGGCTTTTTGAAAGAAAAAAAACGTGCCATTAATTGCTTTTGGGTTTCAGGTGTTTCTCTGCATGTTCTAGATCTTTTTTTTTTAAGGTGGAAATTACCCATGTTTTTAGCCCTTTTTCTTTTGTATGAGTGAAGTTTTTTATTCAGTATTCATAAACCACATACTTTAACTGTACGCAGAGCAAGTTGGTGCTTAAAGTCCCTGCTCTGTGCCTTTCATTTACAGCTTTGAAGACCAGCAACATAAAAACCACAACCCTTTCTGCACTCCTGCATGTGAATATTACAAAAAAAACATGTGCGTTGTTACTGAATAAAAGTAGTGTTACTGTAAACAAACCACCATGAACCAATTAATCCAATACGAGAAAATAGAGTACAATAACTTGAAAATAACAAATATATTCCACTTTAAATACAAAGCGAATGCAATTTACCATAAAAAATAAAGGTGCAGCAAAGAAGTTTATCACGAAATATACCATATATCTTAAATCTATTACTTGGAAACTATAGGATTGATAACAGTTTGATTCACTTCCAATAATGGCCTCCTAATTATCATGGTAAGGTGAAGGCAATTTTAAATACATAAACATGAAAGGGGAACTATTATTCCATTGTTTGGCGACATAACAATTCAACTATAAAAGATTATGTTAATGTGGCTTTTTAGGATTATTAAACCACCGTAGTGGGTTTTTATTAAATGCCTATTTATACCATTTGAAAATCATTAGCCTAGCTTGAAAGCCTCTAATAGAAACAACGGCAGGTTCGCCTTCGTGGACTCACCTTGAGGACTTTTCCTGCCTTCTCCTTTCGGGGGATTTTGCGCTGCACCTGAAGTCTGCTGCACGCCTCTCAGATGCTCAGTGTCAGGAATTAAAGCCAAGAGGAGCTGGTTCCCCACGAAACTGTTCCCAATACAATAAACAGCGTAATTAAAAAGTAGTTTTTTGCTAAAAAAAACAAAACAAGGTCGTAAAAACTTGCGAGCGAAAACGCAAATTCGGTAGTCTGTCGTGTAAAAGGTGTCTCTTATTAACCTGGTCACTTTGTGTCAAAAATAGTTTCTTCGGAGTCGTTCAGAGGAATTAAAATATTTTACAAAGTCTGCCTCCCTCGAAGCGTCTGTAAACCGTTTGACTGAAGACTTCGCGTTGACCACCGTCTTCTGAAACAGAGATTGTGACTCCGCCAGCCGTGCCCTCGCAATTTTACTGAAGACGGAACAGTTTCCCGTAAGACTTTCAAAATAAAATACCATCGCCTAACAGCCGAGTTTCATGAACACTCTGATTAAATACACTTTCAATTTACAGTCTAAATGTGTATTTATTCACAACTTCACAGCGAATTCGTTCACATGCCGAACTTGTTCAATTACTTTTCTTCTATTGTCCCTAAAGCGTCTGATTGGTTTGGCTTAACCAGTATTTAGATGTGTTCATGAAACGCGATTTTTTTGTGTGTTATTCATCCCTGTTTTTGACTATCAGTTATTCAAATCAAAGGATTAATTTATTAAAAGAAAAAAAGTATAGTGAAATTAGTAAAATTGTTTTGATGTGTTTCCTTTCTGATATGCGTTTCCGCTGTGTTTTCTTTCTAACTTGACAGATGTCATAGCGGCAAGGTGTAAAACAGGAAGGCTGACGGGCAAATGAATGGACGTGATAAAGAGGATGGGGGGGAGAAAGGTAGAGAAACCAGTCTTATAAATAATGTTGCTACACTCTCAGATGAATGAGATGTGTATGGTTTTCAGTTTGAGTTTAATGACGATATAACCACATAATTACATTGCTATTGACAAATAACCCTATATTGCATTACCTCTCCCTATCACATCCTTTGATCCCTATAATTGGATTTATATAGATTGAACGTCCTTTTTCTAGATTCTACACTTTTTTGTTGTTGTTCAGGATGCTGCAAATGGCAAGGGTCAGATAAGATCTCCTTAGAGGACCCTTAGATGCGTGAGCACTTTAAGAGACCCCTCCGTCTGTCTGGGTGCATTAATAATGGACCATGGCCGTCAAAAGGTCTGGGCAGCATTCTGCACAAGCCAACGTTATGCCACTGTGAAAAATGGGTTGCAACACACAGTCACTGTGATGCCACTCAGACAGCTGGCATCATGACGTGTTGTTTCAGTTATCACCGCAAACCACAACTTTACATTGAGAAGGCTTTGAAACTTAAGAACAGAAAGTTAAGCAGTGCTAATGACTTCCCTAAAAAGGTAAACAGACCCAACAACTGAATATCTTGAGATCTGGAGCCATGGATAGAACTCTGGAATACTAGCTGCCAAATGTACAAAAAACCCAAATCTGCACTGTACTCCATTCGTATTAAATCAAAGAAAACATCATTATTCAGACATTTCAATTGTTCCTGATGTAAATTGGTGCTAGTTATAGATGTGTGTGAGCCTCAATTAAATTTGGCCAGTAAAAACCACTTCCAACGCCTTCTACTTCAACCTTCCTTAAGTGGAAACTGTCTGTTGCACCAGAACCTGCAGGTGTTGCAGTTGGTTAAAGATTAAACCAACTACGTTTATGTCTGTTGCTGCTACAAATAAAAAGGAAGAAAGAAAGAAAAATGTACTCAGCATTTCAAGCCACATTTCTTTCTCCAGCAGAACATTGTCAGATATTGATCTTAAGTTTGTTTTCTCTTTATTATACTTGGCATAGGGGATATAAAGAAGATGAAGGGGAGGAGAGGAAGGAGAGCATTGCTTCAGCACCTTGCGTTTCTCCTAAGTCTGTGGTTGCGTGTGTTTGTTTGCCACAGGATGTGACGGTTGAATTATACGGGATCATAAAAGACCCACTGTCTTGCAGTGACAGGTGTGCCAAAACTCTGTCTCACACACACAAATATTGAATACTATGCACTTATGAAAGCAATTAGATTTAGAAGGAAAGAGGCACCGAGACAATGACTGACTGAGAAGGAGAATAGTGTGGGTGGGAGTAGACAAAAAGCACCAGTGTCATGCTCGGAGGGTAAAAGTCAGCAGTCTCAAGTCAAGCCAAGTTTGTTATCTTATCGTCAATCTCCATGCAACACCGCATGGGCTTTATGAATGTCTGAGTTCCTCTTTAATACATGAACTATTAGGCATATTAGGCGTATAGTTTTACCAGGGTAAGGAGTGGAGGAGAACATATTTGGTTATGCTCGACAGGCTATACTGACCCCTGTTTCGGATTTCTCTTCTTAATCTTTTGACTTAGTCACAGGAATCCTTTTTTTTTGTCTGAACTTGAAATCTCTTGCAGGCTACTATGTGAAACAGAGACACAGAAACGACCTGAATAGTCATCTCACAGGAGAAAAAAAAAAAGGTCTTTGTGATTCACAAGTGCACCATGTGGCAGTTATAGACTACCACCAAGTAGGACATCTCAAAGCAAATGTTGTAATCTATTAAATCCCCTTAACTGGTTTGGAATAAGCACATTTGCAACTGAGCAAATAAGCTTTCATGATAAACACACCTCTCTTCAGAAAAAAACAAACACTCCCAATGCTTGCAACAATGAAACATTGTAAGTGGAAAAATCCCCCAAAATCACAAGTATGTTTTAATGGCTCAATGCTGACAACCTTGACACCACATTTAAGACTTTGTCCAGCCTCCAGACTAGTCCAGTGCCTAAATAAGATTTTTAACTTCCCATCTTATCAGTGTTTTATGTCAATGAAGACATTTTAACCCCTGGCCTTTCCCAGTAGCCTCTTTCTTGGGCTTAAATGTGCATAATGTGAATGACATTACAATGATGTCACCAAAAGAACTGTAAAAAAGGTTTGAGTCAGCAACCTCAAATGCATTTCTTCCAGTCTTTTTGTAACCATTTTGTTCAGTTTAATATGTGCTGCTTTGTACGGCCTCATAAGCATCCTTAAGGGTAAAATGTTTTGGAATATGTGGGAAGTGTGCGTAGCAGCTTAGTTTAGGAGAACAGAACCATTAATAAGGAGTTTAGCCCAGAAATTGAATCAAACCTTAAGCTGCAGAGAGACACATGCATATCATGAATTTTAGAGTAACTCATGAAGAGATGGAGAAACTTTATGTATATGAAAGAGGAAATACATAGTACCCTATCCCCTCCCAGCACTAATCCCTCTTCTTTAAAACCCTCTAGTGTCACTGAGTCTCATAACTGCTCCATATTGAAGACACACACTCATGTTAAAGTGGAATGTATCAAGTTTAGAGTATCAGAAGCCTTACATGGTCCATTACTTTGTGGGGTTCCTCACTTAGTCTGTACCCAGAGGTTTGGGAATAAGAAAATGAATGGGAAGATTGAAATGCGTTCATATTGGACTTAAAAAAAGAGACATTTGAATATGAAAATTGTTTGTATGCTTCAATTATCAGTTAAATTCCACACTGGGTACTTTCAAAGAGTGAAGTCCCTTCACATAGGTTCCTGAAAAAAAAAACTGCAATCAGCTCCATACTTCCCCTCTGATGTTGGAAGAAACCAAAAGCAGAAACAGGACATGTTTTTTATTCAGCAAAAGAAAAAGGAAAAAAAGCTTTTATAAAAACTGTTCCATCTCCTCTGGGTAGAAATAACTCATTCTTTCTATTACTTGAAAATTCGAACAGATTTGCATGACTTATCTTACATTTTTCGGTGGATAATGGCTGTTTTCCCTTCATTTCCACAGTAGAACTGGAACCTGCTGGAACTTGTGCGTGTATCTGCTAGACTCTGAGTTGTACGAACCACTAACACTGAGATGAAAAGATAATGTTGTGTTGTGTCTACACATATCAGAAGAAAACATAATTCCGCTGAAAACTGGGCAAATCTCAACATGATGCAATGGGCATACTTTGAGAAATGTGAGACCACTGGTAAAGGTTCACAGAAGAAGCAGCCATCCAAAGATCTATCATATTAACAGTATATGAAAGATTGCTGAGAAATAAAGAGAGAAAAGAATCCAGCAAAGAGCTCACACAAGATCCAAACAGGTAATACGGCAAGAATATTTCACTAGAAGGGTTATTGTTGAAAAATAAAGGTGCTCCTATAAATGTTGAGTATCAAGATTCTGTTTGTATAAACAGAATGTATTCATATAGGCACATATTTACATGATTCACTGCACATATTTCTCTTTTACTTCAAGTAAAATCTGATGAAATTCGATCTACCTGGAGACGTCAGTGCAGCATATCTGAATACTTCCTTCTCAGACCAAAGAAAATATTTTAAAGTGACTACATCTGATACAGACTGGAGGATTCAAATAGATGCTGGTGGATTTTTCCGGTAAAGTATTTAAATGTAAAAAAAAAAAAACCCCTCAACGATTGACTGTTCAGTGGAGGTTTCACTTCACAGTAGGCTATTCTGATGCTTATGTATGTATTAAAAGGATTTTCACCCTCTAGCAGCCATGCATAACATGAACTAAACCCCTACAGTGCAGAGTAGTCTCCCCTGGGAAGCACAGCCCACTTCATTTCAACGTTTCTGCCATCTCTGCTCGCTTAATGTGGTTGAAATTATCTCCGTCTTGTATGGTGAAATCTATTAAAGGTTTGTAAATGTCAAACTTCCCCTGTATTTTCCGGCCCTCCCTGCTTTTTATCCGCTCAAAGGGCGACGCCGATTGTTCTAACTGAAACACACCTTTTGGACACAGTTTAAGGAGAAAATGTGGTTCCTTTGTCTGAAACACAGAGGATAAAATCAATGTGTCCTGCGTGTGCTAGAGGCCGATAACAAACACACACACACACACACACAGGTCAGACTCTATGCATTATTAAAAGACTGTTAAACCGACATCACACACGAGCAATAAACCGCACACATGGGTCCTCATCTGCTGGGCTTTGTTACCATGGCGATGGCGGCTTATTCTTTCTTCCTCATCCCAGCTGGTGGACTCTAACTGTGATGTTGAGAGGCGAGTGAAGTGTGTCTGAATGAGAATGAGAGGCGAAACAAAGAAAACGGCCCACCGCTCAGCAGCCCTGAAAGTCGGTCTATTCATTAAACCGGCTGCCTCGTACACACCTAAAACCCAAGAGAAAAGGGAAAGCACCGGCCTCGCTCGCACGAGGTATTGACGTATTGATTTTTGTGTCGATGGACGCCATGGAAATGAGTATTTATTCTGCAGTTTCTTCCAGTATCATCACTGCTGTGAAAGCCTTCATTCCAGACAGCGTGGCATCTGTTTCCAGCACTCTCGTGTAGAATGTTAAGGAGCATGCTGGGGCAGGCCTGGCTGTCTGGTTGAGAGCTGTGTGTTTGTCTCACCTCACATGATTACAGACTTTCTATTACTAAAACATGCGGTCCGTCATTCCATTCTGTGACTCATACTCTCATAGGACTTTCTTCTTATCCACCTTCGGCAATGTTTCCACAACAAATTTGTCTAGAAAAACACTGCTGGTTCGTGTAAACAAGCCATACCATGTCTTTGTAAAAAAAAAAATCTGTTTATCTGGCCTGGAATAAGAAGGATCATCAAGGAACTGATTTTAAAATTTGTGTTAAAATGGGAAATGCCTCGAATTTTAGATGATCCGAGAAATTAAATTTGATCGATATGTCTCTTAGATAGATTTTTTTTTTTTTGGTTAAGTTTAAAATCCATGACATGTTAGGAAGTAGATTTGATAACATTTCTGTTAAGTAATATGATAAAATTGATTATACTAAAGCCTTTAACAGAGTAATTTGTACCACTCAAAAAATGGCATTGTAAAACTATGAAATGACTGTTTGTAGTCTTTTGGTGTCTTTAAAACTCCACATCTTAGAAATACGTTCATTTTATGTTTATCTTTATGCATTTAGCAGACGCTTTTATCCAAATCGACTTACAAAGTACACACAATTTTACAGTTATCATCAAATTTTTTTCATAAATCTTTTTTTTTTAATGTTCTTAAAGACGCATCATGGCCAAAATCAGCCATCAATTCCATGGTGGCAAATTTCTAATGCAACCTATCTCTTTTTGTCTGTAGAGCACCATTTACTGTCTCAGAGACATTAAATCCTGCCGTTCAGTATACATGTGGAAGAACGTTGGACTATTTTCAGGGTAGGGGGGGTTACAGCTAATTTGCATGTCTCGTGAGGAACCATTCTAAACAGAAACCACCGAGGAGCAAAGGCAAATCCTTGTGTTTTGCTCACACTATGAAAATGGCTGCCCCGACATGCTTTCTCCATGTCTGTCATAAGCGTGGCATTAGATTCTGTGAACCTTTCTATTTTCATAAAATATGCCAAACCACAACACAACACAACACAAGTGGGTTGACCTCATTTGGAGGCATGGCAGTTCTTCATCAAAGTAGGATGAATATTTTTGAAACATCTAACATCTGTCCCACAATCCAAAGTCCCAAATGTATTTTGCTTCAGAATAAGTGAGGTCCTGGTTCAAATCCTTAGGGGACTGGGAGCCTTTGTGAGACTGAAAGCTTGTGAGATTTTCACTGCCATTTTTTGTTCTCTCCCGTTCTCTGAGGACAGGCCACAGATCCTCCACATGAAATAATGGAGCAGGAACCAAATTAAGTTATAACGTCACAAAAATATTTTTGTTGCGTCCATTAAAGAATTAATGGACTCTATTACTCAAGTTAGTTTTTAGTATCACTTTGAGGCATGCATTTTTTCTTTTAAATTAACAGTGTGCCTAATATATTTATTAAGAGAAGTAAGAGAAATTCCAGTCCATGGTAACATTATTAATATTTATTAAAGAATATAAAGCAGGTAGGTGAAACAGAGAAATGTACAGATTTCCAGTTGCACAGAAGCAAGTAAAGCAGATGTGCGCAGGAGCTGATCATAATATGATTTAAACAGACGAGCAGAAATAACGAAGGAGATGCAACCCCCCGTGTCGCGTTCGACCCTCCTTATTTACATTTGCATTTCACGTTTTACTTCAGCCACGCTGCTGCGAAATTAAGACATGACCTTACAACCAACCAGGAAGAACCTGTGAAACCTAAGGTAAAATCTGAGTACAGACCATCCCGGTGTAAAAGTGACTTATACTGAACTTATACTGGAGCACCCTCTAGAGGCTTTTGATTAGAAGACAGTTGGTAGAGGGACACCGAGATAAAACCTAATCAGAAAGTAGTACTTCACTAATATTTCTGGACATAGCTGCTGCCTCCAGCGGAAGCATCCTTGCTATTACTGTCTCTAAATCACTTCATCAGGTATCTGTGGAACCGATGGGGACTTTGAAGCCCCCCCTTTTTGCATCCTTGCTCAATGTTCATCCATTCCAGCTAATTATTGCCTTTGAGGTCAACAAACGCTCGTTTTACTTCTTTAGCTTTCGTCATTCTGGAGCATCTTCTCAATCTCCTGGTCCCACTGGTCGTCCCTGTTGTCTGACTCAGTCACAACTTCATACTCCTGAAGTTCTTGCTGCAACTCCTTTTCCCAATCCGCTGCCTCGTCTGAATGCAATGCGAGAGGGAAATCATGGAAACAATCATTAACTCTGTGGTTGAATAAAAAAACAAAATAATCCAGAAATTGCTAATCTAAAAGAAAAAAGTGTTGGTAAATCAAACATTGCTAGGATTAAATATAAAAATAAAAAGAAGTGATGAGGTTTACCATCAGGAGATGGCACGCTGTCCTTCTTATCCAGAACCAGCTGCTCCATCTCTTTCCTCAGATCCTCCTGGTTGATGGCTGCCGAGTCAAAAGCATCACTGACAAACTCTGAGACTCCAGGACTGGTTGAAATCTCCTCCTCTTCCTCATGTGGTGGCTGCGATTCACTGATGGCAACTGGAGGAGTTTTTGGTCTGACATTGTCTACAAAAAAATCACACAAACAAAACAAAAAAAAGAATCTGCCGTTAGCTTTTTAATCATTGGTTTTAAATTTGAATCAAAGTGAATCCAAAATCGTCTAACTCGTTCGACCAAAATCCTATTCTATCCAATCCAGAAAATACATTTTCCACCTTTGTTTGTTTTTTGTTAATCTTTTGGTTCTTTCTCTTGCACGCCTTCTTCTCTTGCACGCCCTCCATAATATCTCATGTGTAAAAGGTTTTACTGTCATTGTTTTTTTTTGTGTGTGATAAATCTGACCAAATAAATATTAGATTTCTGCACTGCCTTTTGTCCCGCTGCGTTGAGTAAGCAGCCTGAGTTCAGTTCCATTTTGTGACGGCCCTCTGGCTGCCCCATTTTTTGTAAAAGCAACTTTCATGTAAAGGCTGCAAATCTGTAGATAAAAAATAATGAAAATAAAAAATTCTCCATATGTGCTGTATGACCAAAACTACCAGCAACCACCAGCAAGGAAAATATTTTGCGTAACTTAGCAAATTAAACTTAAGGGCCCTGATAGTGCAAAAAAAAAAAAACAGGTTAAAAAAGCTCTTTTGTTTCTTACAGTTTTTTTTAATACTCTAATTTTCCATGAATGACATGGCAGATTTGGGGTAGGGATTTACGGAGGCAAACATCTTCTTTCTCAGTGTAACTGCCTGCATACTTGCCTGTGTAACTATGCTTGATATTGAGCATTCCACAGAAGAAAATACTGAGAAAACTGAAGACTGTTCACATCAGAAATTGCCTATAGATTTACAGCATGGAGGCAGAAGCTCATTGATAACAAAAGTATTGTTGGTGTTGTAGATGGAATGTGACTCCCCTAATGGACAATACGAAACATCAAAAGTTAAGTTAAATAATTTTCAACAGCAGCAGGGGAGGTGGCTTTGATCATAGACTTTCGTGCTGGTACATACCTTTTCTGAATGTATGTTTGTTTACATAGTATTTAACAGAGATATTTGCTCTTGTGCCAACAATGAGCACAGGTTTAGGATTAAAAATGTGCAGCTTCGATAGCCATTTTGTTCCTCCTCTATCCCAGTAAAAAGCATCCGTAAAAAGTCTGACCTGTTAAGCTGATATCGTCTGGTGACACATCAGCGCCACCCTCCTCGTCGGCCTTCTGCTGCTGCTGGGCAGCCAGCGCCGTGAGCTGGGCCGACTGCTTGATCAGGGACACCCGGTAGAAATAATTTCTCCAAAACACTTCCTCCTTCACGCTGTCAAACACATCAAAACAGGATCCAGAAAACGATTTAATGGGGGATCCCTCAGCCGTATGCACGCAGAGGAGGGCAGGTGGTGTTCGGAGGGCTTACTGTTTAGGCACCAGGTCAAATCGCATACGATTCAGGAGCTCGTCCTCCTCAAGCATGACGGCAGCCAGAGGATACATATTCTCCATGTCAAAGTGGAACTGAACACCGGCCGGGGGGTCCCTCAAGAAGTTCCGCTTGTCCTGGAATCAGCAGCCAGACAACTCAGTTATTTACACAATGGGTTAATTAGACAAGAAATTTTTCACATTTAGAATAAGACATCATTTCTTACAGCGGACAGGGCAAGAATCTGCTGCTGGATTGTCTCCTCCTCGTTGTAGCCGACCCAGGGAGGTACTGCTGCTTCTAGACAAACACCAGCATATTGCTGTTAACCTTTCAATTTTATTCCATTCAGTTCCAGGCTTGCTCCTCATAATGTCTACCAATTGCTTTATCATTTGTCTTAACTATTCTTTTTCTTTGTTTTGTCAGTCACTATTATGCTGTCTTTTGTTAGGGTGCTGCAGTTTAGTTCTGATTAGTAATATTAGTAATTGTGTCTGATACACACATCATTGGATGGACTGAAAGGGCACACACTTGTTCAGTCCAGTCTTTGTAGATGACTGTCTTCATATGTTTTATTAAGCAACTTAACAGTGGCATATGAACCGTTCAAGTAAAAATAGACTATTTTGTCGACCTATTTCTTTCATTCTGTCATGTGACTTGAGTTCTCCCACTTACAGGTATATCTTGAGTGTCTACAGAATTTAGATCTACGATCTCACTGCTCTAAAAATATTATTGTAAGAGACGGTCCGGAAACCTTGGTTCATTGTTCCTCCCACTTGACCATGAACAGAAAGGCATATTCCTTTCTTTAAAATCAGTTTGGTCTGTATACCAGATCAAGAGCATTTAGAAAACTACCAGTTGCTGTTTAACCTCTGAATTACCCGATTTTTTTGCCTTCTTCTCTTGAACAAATTTCTCCTGCTCCTTCTGGAAGTCTCCAAGAAATGTCTGCAAGCACACACAGACACATATAGTCAGAACATATGTCAAAATGATTTAGCGAAATGTTGCCTTGGGGAAGAATAAGACCGAAAAACAAACACGGATTCACATATCTCGCCGGAGCGAGGGCTACAAAAGTTGTCAAACAAGCCTGCTGCACAACGTGCTTTGTCTATGATGCCGTCAATCTTTCCTTCTTCCACCGACTTCTTAATGGTCTGGGCAGTCTCAACCATAGAATCTGAGATCTTCTTGGTGGCATTGGAGGCAAAACTGAAGATGAAATCTTCAAATGAAGGAGATGGAACAGAAGACATGACTGTTAAAAACACCATCACTTCAAAACAGACAAATGATCTAACAAACTGCTCAATAAATGGGAAACGGGTTATTCTTGCAACTAACTATCCTGTGGGAAATTGAATAAAAACCATGAGGAGGTAGGAATATTTTTCCAAGACAGATTTTTTTCTTTACAATTATTCTATTTAAGTAAAACATTGGTAATGTATTGGATGGCTAAAAATGTAGAACATATGTTTTCTTACCACCAAGTCCTTTGTTGTGCTCAGGGTTTTCGTGATTTGGCTCTGGTTCTGTCTCCTTGTCAGCTGGTTGTTGTTTGTTTACCTCATTTTGTGCTTCCACCACCTTCTCTTCCTGCTCCATACTCAGATTTTCCTTATCATCCGACGTCTTTTCGTACGTCGGGCTCTCTAAACCCAACCACGTCCCTAACCCTTTAAACATATTGGGGCTGACAAAAACTGTTAAGACAAGAAACGGACCAAGGAAAATGATCAAGCTGAACAGCAGAAGATTTTTATGCAACCAGGAACCAAACCGTCGGGGCTTCTTCTTCTCGCCATTCTTTGTGGTAGTTGTAAGGTCCTGCCACCTAGTGACCAAAATCTGAATTTGTTGTTGATTGTCACTCCGCCAATAAACAATAAAGCGTTAAAATGTATTCAAATGTAAAATACATTTTAAAACGGCCATTTAGGTCGCAAGAATGGTGGTCATTAACCGAGAAGTAATTAAAATCACCACCAGGAGGACATGACGGCAGTCATATGGTGGCGCTAAAGCACCTCCTTATCAAACCCGATTAAGTCAAAACGAAGAAGATAGACCGGCGTACCGATGACAGGTAGTATACGTTCGTTGTTGTTTTGGGGAAATTGACGTGTTAGCCTCTATTTTGAGTTAGTTTTCTTTGACTATAGTCATGTACAGAAAACTTATATTTCTGCTAAAGTCTATCTGAATTGCTGGAGCAGAATGGAAAGGATTAGCCGTGTTGCCGTTTTTTTTTATCCGTAAAGGGAAGGTGGTTCAACAAACTCCATTTTAAAATAACAATAATGTAGAAAAAAAGAGCTGGAACCTTATATTTTCCATAGGAAATAAAATATCGTTATAGTTTAGAGATTAAGTAGGACTTTGTGGTTTAATCGGCATCTATAACGAATGAAGTAGAGAAAGTGAAAGTGTTTCCAGGAGTTATTGCGTTATGGATTCATACTTACAACATTGCCCTTGTGTTTTCCTGACGTTAGAATACGTTACATTAGAATAATCAATATTTTATTATTTAAACCAGATAATTTTAACTGCTGTGTTATTTTGCAGGAGAAACATGTCGACTCTGATGGTTTTTGATTTTGATCACACTGTAGTAGATGACAACAGTGACACCTGGGTGATCAAGTAGGTATTAAAAGTTTACAAGATTGACAGCAAAAAGACAGACGATATCTGTGTATTCAGAAGAAATGTTGTACTCATAGAGGACATATTTGTTTTCAGATGCCTTCCAGATCAGACTCTTCCTGACTCTGTGAAGAACTCATACAGAAAAGGCCAGTGGACTGAGTACATGGGCAGGGTAATGAACCATATAGGTGAGAGTTAATATTTTATGTTTCTGCTGAATCTTGCTGTATGATCTGACCTGCTGACCTGTCCTTTTGAATTGTTTTTCTACAGGAGAGCAGAAGGTTGGCTGTGACCGGATCCGCAGTGTGATGGAGACCATCCCCTTCACCGACGGAATGACAGACTTGCTGACATTTATATCGGAAAATAAACGTGCTATTGACTGTATTGTCATCTCCGACTCTAACACCATCTTTATAGACTGGATCCTGAAGGCGGCAGGTCATCGGACCGCTGTCGACCTGGTATTCACCAACCCGGCCAGGTTCAATGAGTCAGGCTTCATGGAGGTAGAGTGCTATCATTCTCATGACTGCCAGAAATGCCCTGTCAACCTCTGTAAAAGAAAGGTCTTGGAGCAGTACCTGTCCGAGCAAGCCAATGGAGGCAGGAAGTACCAGCAGATCTTTTATGTGGGAGATGGTGGGAACGATCTCTGTCCTACTTCTTGTTTGAGAGCAAGTGATGTTGTCATGCCCAGGAAGGGGTATACTCTGGAAAAATTGCTGGCCAGACTTGAAGCTCATAACGGTGACATGCCTCTTCAAGCCAAAGTCATTTCTTGGAGCAGTGGGTCAGATATCTTACAGGAGCTAAAAGCAAGAATGCAGTAACAAATAAGGCTTGTATAGTGATCAACATCTTAGTTGTAATGGACATGTCGCACTTATTACACAGAATAGATTATTGAACCGGTCATTGTTCTAATTTTCAACTGTAACAGTAATTTTTTTATTTCAAGATTTTAAACCAACTGTACATAACAAGATAACAGCGTTTTTTTTTAAACTAAGTTAAACTAAGTTCTGAAAAGGGAAGATATGTTAAATTGTAGGTTTCTGAATCTAGCTATATTACATATTAACCACAAAAACAGTGTTTCTAAGAGTACAAAAAAAGTCTATCAAATTTAAGGAACGGTTTACATCTGTTCATTTTTGCACATGTAATGGAATCTAAGGGAAGAGTTCTGGGATTTTATTCAGGTGTCTCATTGACAGCTTGTATTGTATGGATCGACTAGCGGGTTTCTAAACCTCTTCAACAGCCACTTAGAGGGAAAATCGATTTGAGATTGAACTACTGTGAGAGGTATTTTTTTTACAGTCAATGTTTTTTCATACAACTCTAATGATCACAATAAAATCAGAATAACCAAGTATCCATTTGTCTTGTCTGAATAAGTAGCATACTTTTTATCTTTTTATTTCATTGAAGGATGTATGGTACAAATCTCTGATGCAGCCGAGCTGATGTTTGATTGTGTACGTTGGCTTTAAAGACCTTCATGAGCAGCTAAAATAAGTTTTCCATGGGATAAAATGTTAGAACATGCACCCATCAATTTAAATGTGTTAGCCCGATTCTTTAGTTGGAAGCCTGAGAATAAACCAGAGCAGATCAAGAGTACAAATATGAAATTTATGTGGTCACAGGTAAAGTTATCAGCGCCGGGCACTCGGGTGTTATTGGCCAGTTAGCTCTGATATAAACAGGCCAGCTCCTAATTCATGCAAATTTCATTGGAATGTGATAAGAAAGTATGTGTGTGTGAATGTTGATCTTGAAGATGTGTATCTACTGGAACAGAGAGAGAAGGGTAATCTGTGGGTACTGCCAGAGAGTTTAACACAAGAGAATAGTTCTAAAGGGAATAAGACAATCAGAAGTTTACACAGATTTTGTTGTAGCATTAATGCTAAATTGAGTAACCATAGCCCAATTCTAACAAATGGTTGCTTGATACCATTCAGAGTATTTTGGTGGCTGGAGCCTATTCCAGATGGCAGGAAGTCTGAGGTTGGATACACTCTGGAAACATATCACAGGGCCACACAAAGACATAATTTTGGAATAGTTTGAATGCTTGTTTCCCCATGATGAACCAAAAGTTTCACTCAGAAGATATGTATACTTAGGAAAAAAAACAAAAAACACTTCCACAAAGAATTTTCAAATGAATATGCTCTGATTCTATTTTTTTCTCTGTATAAATCAATATGGGTCATAAGTCATTTAACTGATGAGAGACCACTGGACCGGTTAGCCTAAGCATTATCTGTTTTTAGAAGATGCTCACTACCCATGAGGCCTATGAAGTCACTTCTTTGGGCAATGTGCATATTCTGTCTCGCTTGAAGGGATTGTGAGACTGAATATATGCCAAACAATGCAAAAAATTCCCCATGCCTCACATCTAACCTTGTATTATGACATTTGACTCACTGGACTTCTATTACTTTCTGAAATCCCTCTTCTGAGTGAAAAAGGTTTTAACAAAAAAATCGCACTTCTGTGAAAAATAATAAAAGGGCATTTACATAAGTAATAGCAAGCTTAAAAAGTGAGGCATTCATTCTGGGATGCAGCTTTTCAAAATCTTGACCAGTCAACACAAAGGGTTTGGTGTTCAGGCTGAAGAATGAGTGTCATTTTAGCACATGAGCTGTGACGACATAGTGTGCACATGGAATTCACATGATGTACGGCTCATTGTTACACATGTTTCCATTGACAACACAACCACTATTAAATCCAAATACAGTTATATTAAACACAATCCTAGCCACTTAAACTATATTTAAGTCAATTCAACTAGCAACTAGTTTATCAGAGTACGAATTCATGAAAAATGTATGTTGTTTTAATAGGTAGGTCAAGATACAATAAATCAAAATGCAATAAAACTTTGCTGATTTATAAAATTAAACTAGAGCAATGTTTTTAGAAAAATCGTTTTTTTAACTTAAAGAGAAAGTGCTCTCATCCTTCTTTATTCAAAGTTATATACAGCGTGTAGTGAGCATGTAAACAATACTTCATAGCAATTTTTCAAGGCGGCCTGACCTAATGTTTCCGAGTGAATGGTTGAGTGCTGTTCCAATTTTATTTTTTTTCATATTCTGCCTAAACTATCATCTTATTAGCCCCATAAACTGCTTTGATGAAGCCCTTTAAACCCTTTTCTTGCCCACAAAAAAAGCAAGGCTAAAGCCATTAGAGTGAAAAACTAGAATTAAAAAAGGATACGACCATCTTAAAAAATGAATGGAATAATGAAAGGGTGAATTTTGAGTTCTGAATCTGTATTAATATTCATAATGTGTTGGTATGTTTGCCATTTGTTATACAATATTAACAGCTTGAGGGAAAACTGGTCCATGAGGAAAATTCAGCACTTGAATCTGAACACACAAAAAATATATTTTTAAGGATTCCTCTGACATAACGCCATTTATTTTGCATTTGATGTCAATAAATATTTCAGCTAATAGTCCTTGGCGTTAGCTGCCAACTGTCTCATTTGCACATTGAATAGATGAAGTGACCTCAACGCAATCCACTCATTTAGGCTCTATCTGTCTTCTAATGTTTCAATTGTTATCACCATTGAAACAGACATCCCAACTTATTGCTTTTATCTCACTTTACATGCTTGTCTCAGCAAAGATGTTATCTACAACTTATATCCATTAAATAGGTTCTGGAAATCATTGACTTTGCTCCAGCAAACAGATCCTGTTATATCCCAATGCCTTACCTTAGTTTAGAAAGAAGCCGTTATCACTTGAAATGAAGGGTTAACTTAAAAATGCAACAAATTTGAAACATTTTAAAGGCAGATGTCTTTTTAAATGCTGTGTTTGCCCATTCTGCCCCATTTGGCTCACAAAACAGACCTGCTGCGGCTTGTTTTAGTTTTAGGTAACTTTCACTTAGTCAATTTAATATATGATGTTTAATAGTTCCTTCATGATGTGTGCATTAGCGTTGAGCCTATGTGCATTCTTTTATATATTTATATATATATGTATAGCTTTCTATAGCTGTGTATTCCAACCAGTGCTGTGGGGGATTGGAGCCTGTCCCAGCTGTGATTGGGTGAGAACAGTATCCAATCCCTTTGTGACAATCACTCAGGATGAAGAGCTGTTTATCCAGTCTGGGTACACTTGCTTTCAATTTCAGTTTCAACTTGTAATCCCATCGAGAAAGTGTAAGTGCATCCTGCGGATGACTCTGAGTTCTCCATATGCACCACATCCATGATGCAATCCGCCCCGAGGAGCCGCATAGAATCCACGGAAAGTTTCTTCTCTGAAGTCGGTTCACAGGCATCCATCTGAATAACTCCTGTGTTGTGGGTGATTTTCACAGCGGAGAGGACCCGCAGTCCTGTCAGTTATGTTTGAGAGTATGAGCAAGTGGTCCCAGAAAGGGCCAAAAAAGTTGGTCTATTGACATAATGCCAAGCTGTCATCTGGTGCCAGTCAGAGCTGGCTGACTCCTGCATTTGCATTTACAGTATCTGATTATAAAGCTGTAAACTGTCACAGCAACATGTAATATTAACAAAAGGACGACAGATATGTATGGTAGGACCAAAAAAAACGTCTGAGGCAATGATAAATGGATAGCTATGAATCATACACTTACGGCAAACAGCACAGAGAGATGGTATTCTGATTTCTGTTGTGGCTTACAGTATCATAAATACTTAACTAGCTTTTGGTTATGCCGTGAGGGACTTTGCAAATTTAATGGTTTAGTGATCTAAAAGGCAGCCATCCAAGTGAACAGACTTGATTCATGTTCTCTCCTGCTCACGTTACCAAGCCTTAAGAGAGACAAAGAAGCCCCATGAGCTCCTGGGTGGTGGTAGAAGGGGTTGCACTTTTGTTCGGTACTCGGAATGAAATCTTTCAAAAACAGCTTGATGTAAAATCCTGCATGCTGTGTGATCAGCGTTTAATAGTGAACAGGGGAGCTGCTATCTTCTCTATTGGCCCCACGATGGCATTATATGTGGATGAATCAACTGCTTCTTAATAGATCTCATCAGCACTTAAGGGAATAAGTGTCCACGCTCGCAGATGTTTGAGAGGAAAAAGGGAAATGCTATACATTGTTCATCTCTCAAACCTGTTAGAAGGTGTCAAAAAAATACATTTTCCAACATCTTAAAATGATATATAGAGTGTCAGAGTTACAGTTACCACTTTGCTTTACTGTGGAAAAGTTTCTCTCATTAAAGAGTTGCCTACTCTTTTCTCTTCCCTGAAGTCCACCTCTTGTGAGACAAATTGACAATAAATCAATACACATGAATACAGAATTTATCCACCTGTTCCTCCTCTATGCTGTACTGTACTTTTGAGTAAAACATAGAGGTGACCCGATTGCTCTTAAGTTGGCACACTGTATGCTAGTCTCCCTTAGGCCACTGACGGTGGACACAAATGTCTTGTAAATTTTGACCCATGAGGTCGACTCTTTCCGAGTGAACACAACCTGCTAGATGTGCAGACTTTGCTGAGAGATACAAACCTGCTGCAGGTCAAAGCGGTGAGGAGGCCCTTTGAGGCCTCTCTTCTGCATCTGATAGGAGTAAGCTCCTGCCTTTGGCACGCTGATGTTTAACCGGGCCTATGTGTGTTTTTTTCAAACTGGAGGCTGCTGGCAGGCAGGTATGAGTGCAGCTCTCTGGTCAGCATCTCGTCTGTTTAAGCTGTAGTTAAAGCAGTTTTGAGATTATAACCCTTTGAGCCAACACACAGGCAAAACATCAAGGACCATTTGCTTTTCATGCAACTCGATATAACAAGTACTGTATGTTGTGCTCGGGCGTTGAAGTTAGGGCAGACAAAATTACTCTTTTCTACCACAACCGTTTATTAGATCCAATTATTCACGACAAGGTATACAGAGGTAAAATTTCTGGCAGTGGCTAGGCAGTTGAGTCAAGGCCCAAACCATTGTGTGAAACATTTCAAATGATAGGTACCTGTGCACCTACACCTACTACAAACTTAAATAAAATGTGGCTTTACATGATAGTGTTAAGTGGGTATAGAAAATTGATGGATGGATGATAGAGTTTACTGTGTTTCATCAAGTGAAAAGATACCGACCAGGCTTTGGGTACATAGCAAATAAAGAACCAAAGATTACCATATAGAATAGTGTGGACTTCATAATTTAAACACAATTCTTACTGTGTGTGTACTTTAGTATGCGCACGCACCTACATTAAAAGCCTGTCTGATTTAGTCATGTGTATTCTGCTTATCATTTTATGGCTCCAAATGAATGAAAGCAGATTTAAGTGACACTAACCCTGCTGGGAAACGTCAGTGCTCCTGTAACTAGTGCTGTGGCATG